CTCTTCCTGGGCCGCAGAGCGGCAGTCAGGCCCCTGCCGCTGTCGTCGGGCCGCAGCCGCAGCCGCCGCCGGGACGCCCGCCCTTGGCAAGAACACAGCTGGAGCCCGGAGGGAACGGCGTTTTGAAAACCCGTTCCTGGGAACAAAGCGTAACGCGCTGGCCGAAGGTCTGGCCGGGGAGGCGTGGCCCTCCGGTGACTGCGAGCCCGAGGGCCCTGATCAGTCATCACAGGGTGAGGGGACCATCCAGTAGGTTACTGAAGAACGCCTGCCCCAGGTGATCCGACCTGGCGCACGTGGAATGGTGGTGAAGATCCGCTTTAGGAAGACTACAGTCAGGGGACAACCAGGCCGCCACGGGTTCTGATCCGCAGTACCTGTACCTGGCTTGAAGAAGGTCTTGCCTGCCCTAGCTCGTGGCTCTCCACACTTCATTCCCCGCCGTTCCACGTTTGCTCAGCTCCAGCCATGCCCTCCCAACATATTTTCTCCCTCCACCCCCACTAGGATCAATATTTTTTCTTTAGTTTGAGGGCGGGGCATTCAAGACAGAGTTTCTCTGTGTAGCCCTGGCTGTTCTGAAACTCACTCTGTAGACCAGGCTGGCCTCGAACTCTGAGATCCGCCTCCCTCCGCCTCCTGGGATTAAAGGTGTGCGCCACTACTGCCGGGCTAGGATCAAATTTGAATACAACAGGGATACTGTCTTATTCACCTTTATTTTGCCTGCCTTAACACCACGTCTAGTCTTGAATGATCAGACATTTGTTAAATAAATGACTATTGTAAAAAAATCACCAACCCACTGATGCTGGGTTATCATAACATTTTCAAATTGGATGAACAGAAAGGCATGTCCCAAGCAGGGGGTAGTAGCACACCAGTAATCCCAACACTGGGGAAGTGGAGGCAGGAGGATCATGAGTTCAAGGCCAGCTGAGCTATATAAGAACCGACCTAAAACTGGAAGTTAGAGGAGGGGGAGGTCTCAAAAGTGAGAAAGACAGGAGAAGCAAACCCTACTTAGGTTTTTGTCAGTGACATTTCATTCTGGCCATTTGTATTTCCCATGTTCAGCAAATCTTAGATTGTAGGGTAATAGGTGGTTCCTTCCTGGTGGTAAGTAAGCAAATGTCAAGGTCTTTTGCCTTTTTGTAACTCATCGGAAGCATGTTTTTGCCTTCCCCAAAGATACTTTCATGGAGCATGGGCAGGAAGATTGCTCGGGGAGTAAGGTCTCCCCAGCCAAGCTTAACCATCTGATTGGATCCCAGGGTCTGAGGATGGAAGGAGAACCAACATAAGAAAGTTGTCCTCAAGCTGGGCAGTGGTGGCACACGCCTTTAATCCCAGCACTCAGGAGACAGAGGCAGGCAGATCTCCGTGAGTTTAAGGCCAGCCTGGTCTACAGAGTGAGTTCCAGGACAGCGAGGGCTACACAGAGAAACCCTGTCTCAGAAAAAAAAAAAAAAATCAAGAAAGTTGTCCTCTGACTTCTGTGTAGGGTGGTGGTACACATGCATACATTCGCACATCATACACAAATACACACAAAAAATCAAAACATGCCAGGACAATGAGGTTTCTCTTTGGATTCCTGAGCACTGAACGCGCCCTGTGGCTGCTGCTGAAGCCCAACATGACAGAGACCTAATGGATCTTCATGAAAAAATCTACCCTTCTGATGCCAATGGAGATTGAGAGCCCAATATGGCCAGCTTTGGCAAGCATTAATGTAAGCCTAGGAACTGTAGCCATGAGATTGGATTCTCTAGAAGAGCTGCCAGCTAAAGTCATGCTGGGATCAAGAAAAATGGGCCTTGGTGGTTCATGTTCCTAGAGTTGTATCCATGCCAGTTGATGTCCACACAATCCAGAAGAGAATTTGACATTGCTGCTGCCGCTGTTGCTGTTATAACAATGGCGCACAATGCTGCTATTGTTTCTGGGATTACCATTTCATAACTGCTTACTACAGCTAGCACAGTGAAGACCCTGGCAACACAAGGAGCTACCACAGTTAGTTAATCTTTCATTCTATTGGGCATGATAAATTTAATTCAGTAGTTATATACATCTCGATTGGCTTTGAAAATTATAAATTTATAAACTCAAGTTTCAGTTGCTTTTGGGATACTATCTTACAAGAACTCCAACGAACAGTATGGCTCGTTAAGGAAGGGAATGGCTCAGTTGCCTTTAGCCTACTGGCTATGGGTGATATAGGACCTCTGTTGGTCTTTTCTGTATCGAACACACAGATTGCAAGCCCAGTACCACTTTGAGATCTTTGGCAGCAATTAACCATGCAGCTCAAACACGATTGAGCTGGTATGATAATGAATATTCAGAGACAGGTAATGCCTGGGGGGCACTCACCAACCTAAGACAGAGTGCCTGTGTGGCCTGGGCAGGCGTCTC